CCGAGATGCATGCGTAGTGCGCACTGCAGGTCCTGCAGTGACGAGTGCTGCCCGCCATTTTGTCACCTCCCATCAGGGTGACACTCGGGGCATACCACACACCCTGCACCCCCCTTCGTACACCCCTGCCCCCCCAAACGCACCTGCAACAGTCATTTACACTTTGCAAGAGCTAACAGAGTACAATCCTCTCTTGTGACTGACCCATGTCGGAAAGCACATAGGAATTTATTGCTGGAGTGTGCATCCTCACCATCATCTTCCTCCACATGAAAAGCTTAGCAGATGTCTAAACATTACACTTATCATATCAAGGGTGCATGAAAATAACTATTAGTAGCAGTAGTAGGAGCAGCAGTAATATACTGCCCTTCATCCATGGATCACAGAATAGTTCACAACGGAAACATACAAAATGACACGACAAGAATACATAACAAAGCAAACCAAGAATAAAAGCAAATCAAGAACACCTCTCCCACACATTTAAAAGGCCATAGTGTTAATCAGCCAAATGCCTTGTTGAAGAGATTTGTTTTCACCTGACCCCTAAAGATGAAGGCACCAGGTGAGCCTTTCTTGGGAGAGCATTCCACAAATGGGAAGCCACCACAGAAAAGACCCATTCCTGTGTTGCCACCCTCCAGACCTCTCATGAAGCAGACAAGAAGTGCCTAAGATGATGGCTGCAGGATCCAGGTTGGTTCATATGGGGAGAGGTGGTCCTTGAGGCATTGAGATCATGAGCCATTTAAGGCTTTATAGGTCAAAACCAGCACTTTGAATTGGACCTGGAAACTAATTGGAAGCCAAGTGCACTTGGACCAGGATTGGTGTCATATGTTCAAACCGTCTTGCCCAAGTGAGCAACCTGGCCCCTGAATTCTGCACCAGCAGAATTTTTTATCTGACAGGCTACTGATCCAAACCGTGGCTGTGTTATGGTTGGGCCAATTATGAGGGATCTTCTCAGTTCCTTGAGGAATTTCATACCAGTGCCTGTTGCCATGGAGAAAGGGCAGGCAATGTTGGGGAGGCTATTAGAGGCCATTGTGGTCAAAAGTGTTACAGTCATGGTGAAGATCGATAACCACAGGTGACCAGGGTTTCCATCTCTGGTTGGTTTTTTTGATGTCAGGAAAATATTCCTCTCCCTCTAGGACACACACACACACACCTGACTGAGCTCAACTGTCATTTGACTCATCCTTTACCCAAATGTGCTCCGCTCGGGGCTATTCTACCAGGCTGACCCAGAGTGGGAGATTAAATAGCAAGGAGCAACTGCTATTGAACTGCTTTCCCAGCACTGCTTCCTTCAGCAGCCATTCCACATGGTCCTTATAATAACTATTTTACATTGTGTAGAAACAGGGACCTGGATTTGGGTATTTTCCTCTTCACCCCTCATCTCTTCCCTTTTGTATCATCTCTATGAGGGTGTATGCCCAGTGTCAGCCCAAGACATTTTGCTGTCTGAGGCAAAGCTGAAGATGGCATCTCCCTCCAATTCCACATACCAACTCTAACCAGTCTGACAGCTGAATAGTAGTTCAAAAACATCCTGTACTGTCCCTGAGGAATAGTGGACTATCTCAGGAGGTGCACAGCAGCCTAGCTTAGGGTGCCTAGGTAGAATTGTGGGGAGACAGCCTTACTCTGCCTAACGGTAGAGTTGGCCCTGTGTACACCATTCATTCAAATTTAAACCACCTCAAGGGCATTGGCAGAAAGGTAGTTTGTTAAGTGTAGTTGGTAAATTGATAAATATTCTGAAGCAGCACAAGCACATCCGAGCCTGTCCTCATAGGTACTCCATTCTGTATAATTTGCTCTGGTCTTAAATTACATTATTTGTACATGCTGTGGGATCTTGAAAAAATCATGTTGTAATTATGCACCATTGTGATTTATTAATCAAGAAATAGTATGGCTGCCTGCTATGGACTCACAAATTAGAGTCTCTAATACACTCTAATTTCTACATTAATCGCATGGACAAAGTTCAGAACATCTTGTTTTCATGACTGCTAAACCAGTTGGTAAGCCATCTTCTGGCATCATGTTGCAAACGCATTTTCTTCTCATTATTTTGAAACTATTCTATGTGTCAGGTCAGCCAAAAACAGCCAGTGAAGAAAAGGTTTCCAGAATAATGACCCTTCAGATCAGTGAAGAAAAAGCTTCCAGAATAATGACCCTTCAGGATCCTGTTATAGCTTATATACTTTTGGAAAATTCAGACGCAGTACTGAACAAAGCAATTAAGCAAGGAAAGGGGAAGAAATAGCCTTAAGTCGCATAATAAATAGATTTATTATAGTCAAAGGAGAAAATAATAGAGAAACTTGAGTGTGTAGACAAATTGTAGATGAAAATAAATCTGACCATTTATCATGGAGAACAAAGCTCAGTAATAAAGAGAAGGCTGAAGAAAGAATGGGCATGGCTGGTCCATTCTGAAAGGCATTGTAGCTAACATACGAACACAAGAGGAGGCTGCTGGATCAAGCCAATGGTCCATCTAATCCAGCATCTTATTCTCACAACGGTCGACCAGATGCTCATGAGAAACCAAGGAGCAGAACATGAGAACAAGAGCATTCCAGCAACTGACATTCAGAAGCACTGCTACCTCCAACTGTGGAGGAAAGCATAGCTACCATGGCTAGTAGCCACCAATGGCCCTCCATAGATGCCAGCTCAAGGGGGCCCTGGGTGCCAGGGGCTCTGACACAACCGAGGTCTTATGAGGCCTCAGACCTGACCTCCAAGACCCTGCGAGGTCTCAGAAGCAACATCTGAAGCCTCGTGAGACCTCTGACAAGACTTCTGGCTTCTAACGGAAGTTGCATTTGGAGGTCTGGCAGGCCCCTGAAAGCGACTTCTGGTACAAACTGGAAGTGATGGTGGAGGTCTTGTGAGGCCTCAGACATGACCTCCGAAACCCCGTGAGGTCTCAGAAGTGATGTCAGGGGCCCTGCCAGGCCTCCAAACGTGACTTCCATAAGCAGAAACTGGCAGTTGCATTGAAGGTCCCGTGAGGCCTCGGAAGTGCTGTCGTGTCACTGACACAACATGCCATCATGGCATCACATTACATCATGGGTGCCATTGGGCACCCATAACCTGGAGCCCAAGTCTGTAGCCAGTGGCGTAGCGTGGGTTGTCAGCACCCGGGGCAAGGCAAGTAATTTGCGCCCACTAACCCGTAGATTTTAGCACTCGAGTGCAAGTGCGCCCCCCCAGATGTTGCGCCCGGCCCCCCCTGCACCCCCCACGCTACGCCACTGTCTGTAGCTGTAGCTCTCTCCTCCATGAATTTGTCCAATTCACTTTTAAAACAATCCAGGTTGGTGGCCATCACTGGAGAAGCGAGTCCCAAAGTCTGACTATGTGTTGTGTAAAGAAGTACTTTCTTTTCTCGGTCCTTAAGCTTTGATTCCAAGGGATGCCAAATCAGAGTCATTAGCATCCAAATGGCCCATTTATGAAGACGTGTGTGTGTGCCACAGAGAGATATGTTTCCCTCGGCATGTTGTCTCCCCATTCGTGTGATATTGGGGAAAAAAGTGATGTGACACAATTGCATTAGCATTTCTGCCTCCCCACTCTCCTTCATTGCCTGCCTCTTAGAATCATAGAATCATAGAGTTGGAAGAGACCACAAGGGCCATCGAGTCCAACCCTCTGCCAAGCAGGAAACACCATCAGAGCACTCCTGACATATGGTTGTCAAGCCTCTGCTTAAAGACCTCCAAAGAAGGAGACTCCACCACACTCCTTGGCAGCAAATTCCACTGTCGAACAGCTCTTACTGTCAGGAAGTTCTTCCTAATGTTTAGGTGGAATCTTCTTTCTTGTAGTTTGGATCCATTGCTCCGTGTCCGCTTCTCTGGAGCAGCAGAAAACAACCTTTCTCCCTCCTCTATGTGACATCCTTTTTCTTGTGAGAGCAGAGAGAGGAGCCGATACAATGCCATCATGCCATATTCTTTTTTGACTATACATTACTGGAGGAGAAATGAGCTTGTAATGCTCATGCATTTTTCAAGCATGTGACCCCAGTGGGAACAGAGCTAATTGCAAAAGCTTTTGGTTTGCTCCTGGACAAGGCTAGATTGTGACATTTTGCCGCCTGTGGCAAAGGACAAGTTAATGTTCCCTCCCTGTTCCATGTGGAGAAGCCAACTAGAAGGGCAGTTGAAGCTTACTTTGGCACTGGGATGGCATCTCCACTGCACCTGGGGCAGCAAATCAGATTAGCAAGAAGAGGACAAGTGACAATGCAGGGGAATGGCCAGGAAGCACAAGAGAACCAACCAAGGGTTGTTATTGCCACACCCCACCCCAGCATCTCCTGCCTGTGATAATGAGTTGAAACTGCTTCTGTAGCTGGTGCTGTCAGGTTTGATAGACAGAGCCTGTGCCTTCTAATCAAGGAACTCTACAAATAACAGAGTATGAGCTCAGTTCCCATACTGGCAGTGGGGTATTTTTTCATTCTCCTTTGGCAAGTCTATTAGGTGGATAGAGTAGCTGCAGTCACAGTATTCCTGAATTAAAATTGAAGGCAGCCCAGTCATTTGGTAAACAGCACCCTTTTCCTTCTCTGTTGAATTATTGCAACACTGGCCTTTTAAATAATCATTACCAAACTAGATGTGATTGGAGCAGCTCCTGATTGTTGTTCATATTTCTGTTCCATCCATACTAACATAAACACACTTCCTGCCTCTTTCAAAAACATTTTTGCAAATATTTCTGTTGAACAGTCATTTTGTCACCAATCATCGTGGGCAGGCACTTTTCCTCTCTCAACAGTTTGACAGAAATGTTTGCACAACCCCAGATTGTTTCATGCACCCACCTCTTCTTTCTTTGCTTGAGAAAAAAGTGAGGACCCAAATGCTTTGCCTTTGCAAAGCAGGGGGTGCTAATAGGTAGCTGGAAGAGATTGGGCAGACCTGGCCTCCTTTCAGAAAGTTTCTCATTTTTAGGAATGGCAGTAGCTCAGTAGTAGAGCATCTGACTTGTATGCAGGAGGCCAAGGTTCAGTTGCTGCTGCCTTCAGGTAGAGCAGTAGAAAGCTCCTGGCTGAAACCTGGAGAGTCAGAACAGAGAGCTTTGAACTAGGTGGAGCAATGGTCTGACTTGGTATAGGGCACTGTGGCGTTTGCCCTCCTAGGTGGGTCATAAGGAAAGGGTTAAATGAGTGTGAAGTGATTGGCCAGTGGGAACCCAAGGGGAGGAGTTAGAGTTAGAGTTGGAGTGGTTGGAAAGTCAGTTGGGAGCTGGAGAAGGAAAAGGGAGAATAAGTCTGTGGGTTGGTCGAGTTGTGTTGTGAGAGAGTGAGAGAAACTGATAGGATGAGTCAGATAGACAGTTGGGATAATCAGTTAGCAGTTATTAGGAAAGGTATAGGCCGGTATAGAAACTAAGATTAAGAAACTGGCAAGAAAAATTATCTGAAACCATAAACTTGTTAAAGCTTATAAAATAAACTTGCTTATTTGATTTAATGTTAACAACTGTCTGTGTGTACCCAATAGAAACGGGTTGGTGGCAGTGGGAAAACAATCACAGTGGTGGCACAGGGATCAATAGACCGTCAAACGTCCGGGGACCCTGTGTGATCGCTACAGGCACCTTCCTACATTCCACTTGCAAAGGGAAAAGATGACTGGCAGAGGGAGAGCTATTGGCTGGGGAAGTGAGCAAATCCTACTTTGAGCCAGCTTAAATGGATCAGTGTCCAGCTCAAAAGGAGGTTCCACTTTTCCAAGTGGGGAGAGTTTGTATTTTTGACACCCCCACCACTGGGTTTCATTGACAACTCTTGTTCACAACCTTGGCCCAGTATACCTGAAGGAGTGTCTCCACCCTCATCATTCAGCTTGGACACTGAGGTCCACTTCTGAGGGCCTTCTAGTGGTTCCCTCACTGCGAGAAGTGAATTCACAGGAAGCCAGGCAGAGGGCCTTCTTGGTGGTGGTCCCCACCCTGTGGAGCACCCTCCTATCAGATGTCAAGGAAATAAACAACTAACTGACTCTTAGAAGACATCTGAAGGCAACTCTATATTGGAAAAATTTTAATGTCTAATGTTTTACAATTTTTAATGTGCTGTAAGCCACGCAGAGCCAGATGGGCAGGGAACAATAACAACAACATATTTAATAAAATGTATGGTACTTCTTGATTCTATTTTTAAAAACCTCAACAACCTCAAAGTGGGTTACAAAAAAATAAATAAAACAAATTATGATAAACAAATAAAACTGCATGTTACGGATGTTTTCATCGTTGCTGTTTTTTATTTTAATGGCTGTATATTTATTGTGTGAACTGCTTTGAGACTGATAAGTTATAAATGAAAACTGTCATATACTTTGTAAATGAATGGATGTGTGTCTAATTTTTAAGTCAAAGGGGGACGTACAGGGGATGGGGGCATAATTCCCCTGTCCCTTCTCAACATGCCTTCTGGGCTTTGTCCCTTCAGGCATTTTTCTCCCACTCTAGCTCTAATATTGGAAGTGAGAGGAAATTGGGGTAGGGGGTGGGGGGTAACTGCCTGAAACAAAGGATATGGGGTAATAAGGTGTGGATGAGGAGAGCTCATCTCTCCTTGCCCATCTCTCCTTGCCCATCTCTCTCTCTCTCTTGATCTGGCAATCAAACCCTCACCTTCTTCCTTATGGGAACTTCCAGACTGCCACTAGCTTTGGGTGGGTTCCAGTTGCATAGTTGCAAATTCAGGCTATGCAATTATAGTTGATGGACAGGTCTTCTGTGACAAACTTGCTTCGCCAAAAGACCTATAAGGAAAGTAATGGAGAAACTCAATGGAAAATGTGGAGTAACACTTGCTTTGCTGCAACATCATTTAAGGGCTTTCCCACATTTTGCACTTGAGATGAGGACCCATTTTAGGCTTTTGCATAGACCGTTAGAAAAGGGTCCGTATGACTTGCCTTTGTCAAACGGCAGGCATCTTACACCACTCTGAAATCTTTCGTTCTCTGAGGCATTTTTTAATTTATCATTTCCTGCCGATCGGAGGAGAGCACAGCTATCAATTTTGCTATTGTGGCTGTTTTAAAAAACAAAATATATAGAGGTAAATGGTTTAGCTTCTATTTAAATTCAACGCTGGCTAGTTTTATGAGAATCCGAATGACAGTGCCTTCAAACGCTGTGCAAAGCTTCACGCATACCGGAAATTAATTTGCTATCAGATTAATGGCCTTGGCCAAAAGGTTAAGCCTTTCTACAGCTTAGCAAAAGCAATTTTGAAGTGAGTTGGGGCAACTTCCAGATGAATTCCAGATGGACAAGACAACAAAACCTTAACAGTTTAGCAGTCAGCAACCCCTGTACAAAGCCTGAATACAGAAGCAAGAGAGAAGAAGAGGTGAGAATAAAGACAGGGCCCTATCGTGAGACAGAATGAGGTCACCCCCTGAAACAGCTGATTTGGGGGTGTCATGAAAGGACAGCATATTTCTCTGCTAGTCAATTGTTGTCGTCGTATTCTTGTCATCAGAGGGTGTAAGAGGCATATATGGTACCCAGTACTGTAGTTGTAAATGGGACGCAGGTGGTGCTGTGGGTTAAACCACAGAGCCTAGGACTTGCCGATCAGAAGGTCGGCGGTTCAAATCCCTGCGACAGAGTGAGCTCCCGTTGCTCGGTCCCTGCTCCTGCCAACCTAGCAGTTTGAAAGCACGTCAAAGTGCAAGTAGATGAATAGGTACCTCTCTGGCGGGAAGGTAAACTGCGTTTCCGTGCGCTGCTGTTCGCCAGAAGCGGCTTAGTCATGCTGGCCACATGACTTGGAAGCTGTACGCCGGCTGCCTTGGCCAATAAAACGAGATGAGTGCCGCAACCCCCGAGTCGGTCACGATTGGACCTAATGGTCAGGGGTCCCTTTACCTTTACCTTACTGTAGTTGTAAAGGTTTAACTCACCTCGGCCTGTTCACTTCCATGGCAACTACTCCATGGGCCGGATTGCGTCTGCGCAGACGCAATTTTTTCCGTCTGCATAGATGTGATTTTTTGCATCTGTGCATGTGCAGATGCGGTCTCCGGCGCCACAGAAGCGAGTCCTTCACTCCAGTTTAGCAGAGTGCACGGGGACTCGCTGAGCAGGCGGCTCGGTTTGGGGGCGGTTCGTGGGCCATTTAAACAACCGCAGGTTGCCAACCCCTGTTGTAAAGTAAGTGCAGTTACAGTTAATGTCACTAGTTGGTGCTAGTGATAACAGAGCTACATAAGGTGTTCCAAACCAAGTCACTGGGCCTTTGATCCTCAGAAATCTCCCTGTGTGTGCCTCCGCCCCCTTACACAGCACTCACAACAGAGCATTACAAGGCACTTGTGGGGATTTTTTTTTGCCTCATAGTCAGAATAATTTGGCTGGTCTTGGGTACTTTGTCCATTGATGGGGGGAGGCACCATTTGCTTCTCTGCCTCAGGCATCATGGATGAAGATATTGGGACAGCCATGAGTTGTTTTATGTCTGGGCAAACCTACTCACATATTGGGGGAAATAGTATCGCATGAGCTGGCCAGCTTTCACATGGCTTAACCCCTTCATCTGAGCCATTTTCCCAATGAAATTTGCCCCCACCCCACCCCCGCAAGCTGCTATTTTATCCTGCAACAGAAAGTTTAGGAGCTTCACAGTGCCACAGAGTCTCTCTCTCTCTCTCTCTCGCCAGTTTTTACGAACTTTAGAAATGCTTCTCTCCCTCATCTAATTTATTTGTTAGGAGCACTGCTGAGGATAATAACCAACCTTGCAAAACAGTTACTTCAGGGAGTAATGAGGAGGGGGGAAATGCCCAATGATTAATAAAAGCAATTTTTTAAAGTTCACATTAGAACATCCTTGTGATGTATTTCAACTTTTTTTTAAATGAAATCTGCACTAACGGTTCCCTATTCTGTAATAATGCAGTGCTTCTTTAGTTGGAACAAGTACATTATCCCACAGAGTCACCAGAGGGCATCAATTATTTGTGCAAACTGCATTATTGAGTCAGAAGTGCTTATTGTGCCTGTGTTTATATACTAAAACCATCTTCTACTGGATGAAGTTCCAGTAAGTCAGAAAGTAATTTGAAAGTGCACCCAGCATAATTATAAATCACATTCATAATAATAGCAGTTAATTAATTAATTAATTAATTAATAAAGAGATACTTGAGAGTTAATTCCAAAGGCTTCTGAAGAGCTTTCTTCACATACACGTATAGTTTCAAAAAATACTTCACTGCACTGTTTTCTGATTCAGCTTGGTTCCATGCAGAAGTTCTAGACAACAACTATCCTCACCCACAACCAGCATGGAAAAATCACCTACAATTGTGAAAGTTGTAGTCTGATAATATCTGGAGATCACTAGGGTGATCTAATGTCACCCACATGTTAAGAGTAAATAGAAATAAGAGCGACCCAGTGACATTTCTTGAAAACTCTTGATTTTACAGCTTGGAAGGGCAGCAAAGTGATGGATAGGCAAGTAACCCCTCATTACATCTCTTCTCCAACACCAACCTCCCAGCCCCTGGAAAACAACAACAACTATGTTTCCTTTAAGAAACAGCATTAGGGTTTTCTGTGTTTTCAGAGGATGTTCATTATTAGTAGACAAATCATCAAGGATGATTGTACACCATTGCTAATTTTCTATTTAAGAAACCAACCCATCCACCGCCCCAGTAAGTTTCTAATAAACCGTGTTTCCCTATAACTCAGTTTGAAATCCATTACACGGAGACCTTCTTGCCTTATTGGATGCCTCTTGTTGTCTTGTTTATTTTATATGGGGCTAATTTTATTCACTGTTTGCTTGGCCTGTTTGCTGCCAAAGAAATAATGCAGACCAGGGGGAAGGTTGGGGGTTATGTGCCGGCAATATTTTGTTCTTGAATTATTGAAGTGCCCTTAAATAATTTAATAAACCTCAGCAGGTTATTATTCTGTTGATTGACAGGGCTCACTTTGACTCTAAGGATCTCTGTAGCCCTGGAGGGCCAGAACCACTCAAGGCAAGGCTGAAGAGATGTAGCATGCAAGAGGAGAAAGGGATACATTGATATGGTGATCTCTGCTACAGAAATGCAGCCTGGTGGGAACTTTCTAGTTGCATGGCCATTTATAGGAAAAAATAATAATACTTTCCCCATCTGGCCCCAGCCACTCTGGGCAGCTTCCAGCACCTATAAACACATAATAATTCTAATTGTCCCACAAGTTTACCCCTAAGATCTAAGTGGTGTGATTTTGAGTGTGCTTTTGGAAGATGCAAAGTAGAGGATCAGCCCTGCTGGCTTCTTCCAGTTCCAACCATGCTAAAAGTTTGGACATGCACAAAAACAATGGTGGAACCAGAGGCCTTGTAAGATTGGGATGGAGAGTTGAGCACCTGGGACTGGCCTTGTTACGTACTGCAGGGAACAGGTCACTAGTCAGTCAGGGGCTAAGGAGGTACTTCAAAGGGAAAGTAATAGGCTGACATGGACCTAAATGTCAACATCATCAAAATCTCAATATGGTTAAATCCTGCTGCCTGTGCTAATTCCAGACTGAGCAGGGTTTTACCCTCTGTTCATCAGCTGATAAGTGCAGGGGGAGGGGATCCTGCTACTTTAGTGTTAGCAGATGAACAGTGTGCCTGTGTTAAATCCCTGTGGGGAACTGGCAGGCCCAGCCAGCACAGAATTCAACCTTGCTTTCCACCTGTCAGCTGACATCACCTGCCCATCTGAGTGATGCCAGCTGATTGACAGGTGGGCATGGTTTTGAGAAAATGGTCCTATGGCCCCAATGGACCCTTTGGCAGGCCAAGGGTGATTGAGGGACGGAGATTCCCCACCCCTGCTTTAAAACATTGAAGTTTTATTGATTGCAAGTATTAATAATCAATCCATGTGCAGGGCACTCAAGGTTCCTATATTATACTAATTTCTGCTTTCTGGCCAAATGAGGATTCACAAATAGGCAACATAAATTGTGAGATGGAATTTCAAACCAATAATCTGCACTGCCCTCTGAGAACTTTTCTTAAAATTGCATCTTGATGCAAATGCAACTGAAGAATATATACAAAAATTAATCATCCTCCAGCTTTGAGGCATAAAAAACCACTATGTGCTAACTTTTGGATAGATAGCCTTATCATGCTGTCCTATAAATTTATTACAGAATAAACTGAAGATGGTATATTCATGATTAACTACACATCACCTCTGTATAGGCTCTTTGCAAAACATACCCACACAAATGATGAAATGCTAGCAGTAAAACTAAGATAGCTTATCAAGGATGTAGGGGTTCATCAGCTGAAGGCACCAGCAAAATATAAAATATGATCTGTTGTTACCATAATCCTAAATAAAAACACATCTTTATTCATGCATTCATTCAGTTGCTATCTCACCTTTCATTGGCATAAAACCTATTCAACCCATTAAAATGAAACAGAAGTATTTTACAATGTAAAATAGAAACACAACTAAAATTCTTAAAAATAATCATATAGTTCTACCATTGTTTTATCCATTTGCTGTTGACCTCACAACAGCAGGGCTCTCTTCCCACCTACCCAGCTGCATTCTCAAAGGCCTGTGCACAGATGTGAGGCTTTAGATGGCGTTGGAAAGTAAGCAATGTAAGTAAGCAAAGTAAGCCAGGCATTCCTTGAAATGGGGAGCCTCCTTGGCACAGTTTTGGTCCAATCCTGTTCAGCAACAGCAGCAGTAACAAGGAAATGCCTCTTTTCTGCCTCGTGCAGGCTGCTCAGATGTACTGCCTTCATGCTGGAACTTCAGAAGTGGTGGTGCTTATGTAGTACCATGCCCGGCCTCTTGGTGGCACTAATGTAATACCACAATACGAGAAACAAAACGGTCTCATACAACCAAAGCACTGTTTTATCAGAATTCAACACAGTAATATCCTCATATTTGTTATACGCGTATGGGAGACCCAGTCTTTTACTATCTACTTACATTTTCTAGTCAGGCATTTGGCCTGATCATTTTCAGGGAGGCTGGCACAAATCACATTGAAGATAAAAGTTTCATGTGCATGAAATGCTATGTTTGTATGCATTGAAAACTTATGCAGAAGTTTGCGTTAGAAAGGAGGTTTCTCTCTAGCTAATGCGGCAAGATGACACACCCCAAAAACTGAAGTAAAGATTACTCTCGTGCAAGGAGAGTGCAAGTTAGTCCTTGGAGCCAGCAGCTGTAGAAGCTCAGCTCAGCAATCCTGAACAATCAAGATGCTCACATAGGATCTCATTCCCTGGGAACAGAGAGAGAGAAAATTATTCAGAGAATCCCAGAACTGTAGATGCAGAAATATGCAGCCATCCCATACAGGGATCAAACCTGCAACCCTGGCATTGTCAGCACCATACTCTAACCAACTGAGCTATCCAGGGTTACTGAACTGTATTAAGTACTAAAAGAAGATGGGACCACATTGCTTAATAAAGCTACATCCATTGCTTGCTTTTACCAAGAGCAATGAGTTACAATTAAACACTGCAAAATACAAAGTAACTGTTTTAAGACTGTTTCCAGTAAAGCTTTGAAACACTTTCTTGCAGTGTACTGCATTCATTTCTACTCTGCGTAAGGTCCAGATCAGGGATTCTGCTTGTAGAAACTCTCCCTCACTGCAAGAAGTGAGGTTACAGGGAACCAGGCAGAGGGCCTTGTCGGTAGTGGCACCCGCCCTGTGGAACGCCCTCCCATCGAATGTCAAAGACATAAATATCTGACTTTTAGAAGACATCTGAAGGCAGCCCTGTCTAGGAAAGTTTTTAATGTTTGATGTTTCATTGTGTTTTTAATATTCTGTTGGGAGCTGCCCAGAGTGGCTGGGGAAACCCAGCCAGATGGGTGGGATATCAAATTATTATTATTATTATTATTATTATTATTATTATTATTATTATTATTACAGGTTGAGGGGGCATGCCTATTGAATGCACACAACAAGCCCCTTATATACATTTAGCTCTTCTGTGATCAGGCTGAATGCCTGAATTGCGAATCCTATGTTCTGTTGCCTGTATTTTTGAAATCTTTAGCGTGTACAAATCTCTGGTGTACAAATCTGTCCAGTTTGTAATCCTCAGCTGCTGTATGATGAACTGAACCACTTTTGCCAGGATGCCCAGCATTTAGCAGAGAAGACACCCAACCCCAGCTGATCTGCAGGCATCTATGCTGAAGATGTTTATCTGCTTACCCCTGACAAAACTCTCATTGATTCCTGTGGCGCTATGTGAAATATAAACTCGGCCGTTTTGTAGGTACATGCACAGAGGCTCTTTAACGCTAATAGCTCTTTTCTCTTGCTGTCGCTTTTCTTGACTGCTGTGTTATTTACACGATCACAGCACCCTTCTGTCTAGCAAGTTTCTTTGCTATGCAGATCAAAGAAGATCAGGGGCACCCACACTTTCACGGGCTCAGAGGAATTTTGAAAATGTGCTTTCAACACCGTCACAGAATATGCGCAGCCACAAAACACTCATTTCCCTAAAGGCAAATGGATGCCATTACAAGTAACAAAGTTACACTAGAGACTGAGAACAAGGCTTCAATCCTAGGTAGGTTTGTGTGGGAGTACGTTCCACTGAACTCAGTGGGATTTACTTCTGAGTTTACTTCTGATTTACTTCATAGGCTTGTTCTGAATATCCTAACCAACACTTCCCCCAGCCCCATGCACACATCCAGACTTCATATTTAAAAAACCCCACCTTGACCACCCTGGTTTCTCCATTTCCCATTTTCCTACCCCTGCCTGGTCACTTCTCTCTGCAGTGTGGGGAAATCCATTTTGGAAATTCTGAAATGGTTGCCCTCTGACAAGGATAGAAATAAAGAACACAGAAACATCTGATAAGGCTTTACTGATTGGTGGGTCATAATGAGAGCCCCATAAGCACTGGGAACCCTCAGGTCTCATGGTGCCTGCAGGATGCCTGCCCTTTATTGTTTGTTGAAAGGTTTTTTTTTGTGATTGTTCTCTCCTGACCAAAACTAAAACCCATCCTCTTGTTCATGGGTCTCAGGGGAAGGGGAGGGATTGAATTTTCCACAGGAGCCCATATGATAAGTCACAAGAGGCTGTGTTCACACAACAACATTGTAAGCCAGAAGAGCATTCTCATAATACAACAAAGCTTTTAAGTACCAAGCCCATTGTGCACCAAATCTCAGGGAATATTCTTTGCACTGCAGTCTAGAATGAACTTCTGTTTATGATGTGTCTCATGACAGAAAAATAGCAATGAAGATTTAGGCTAATAAAGACATTTTTGTTTAAGAAGCCTTTCCACCAAGTATAACCCAGGCATTTTATGGAATATTAACTGTACAACTGTAGATACAGATATTGCTTTAGTTAATAGGACCCTGCCTTTTACTGAGTCAGACAATTGGTCCATTTAGCTCAGTATTGTCTGCACTGACCGGAAGCAGTTCTCTGTGGTTTCATATGAGGGCCTCTCCCAGACACGCCTGAGGATTATGGTGTCTGAATACAGGCAAGGATTCTTCAGGAGCAAATATCTCCTCAGGAGTAAAACTCCCCTCTCAAGGATACTGAGGTATTGATAGGAGTCAGCAGCAATTGTGGTTTGTGTTATGTATTCAGGGTGTTATGTATCCAGTGGTCTGTGTTTGCCTGAGCTTGAGTCTGGACTAAGGATTCTGAGCCCCTGTGTTCTGATTCGATAAATGATACCCAATCACAGAACATTTCAGTATTTGGGCTTGTGCATTGGCCCTTAAACTCTGAGTCATGATTCACAGCTTGGAAGTTTAGACAGCCAATCACGTTGGGAGTAGGAGTGGCTCAGGCCTTCAGAAATGTATATAAGCAGTGGCTTTGCCACTGTTATTCAGTTATGTAGTTCAATAAATGTTCTTGCTGTTATCACTGTGTCTTGCCTTGTGGGAACCCACCTACACTTCAGTTTGGTTCCAGCAGCTCCAGCTCAAAACCCCAGTGCTGCGATCGAAGAGTTGCTGATATGATGTCTATGTATTAGCATGATCCCTTGCCTGCTATTGGATCGCCTGTTCTGATCTTGTAGAAGAAGAAGAAGAGTTTGGATGTGATATCTCGCTTTATCACTACCTGAAGGAGTCTCAAAGTGGCTAACATTCTCCTTTCCCTTCCTCCCCAACAAACACTGTGAGGTGAGTGAGGCTGAGAGACTTCAAAGAAGTGTGACTAGCCCAAGGTCACCCAGCAGCTGCATGTGGAGGAGTGGGGAAGCGAACCCGGTTCACCAGATTACAAATCCACCGCTCTTAACCCCTACACCCCACTCACCTGTCCCTTTTTGAGATCTCTTCTAGCTTGGAGCCTGGCCTGGGACTGCTCTGACTTTCCCCTAAGCCTTTGCAGTGGACTCTTAACTACAATCTGGCTCATGTTCTGGTTGCTACCCCATTGATGTTACTGCAGGCAAGTCTCCTGTTTACTGAAGAGCCCAGTGAATACAGGACACTTAGCCATTGAACCCAAAACCTTCTGCATCCAAAGCAGATGTTCTACCACTGAGCTAAATCGCTTCCCCAAGGACAAAGAGAGTTTGTTTCTTTGTGTTTTTTCTTGGTGCCATGCTTCGGAAGCCTCTGTGTGATGGTTTATAGATCTGCAAAATAAACTAATGGGAAGTGTGAGAATGGAGAGGAACATGTAGTTCTCTTCTGAGTAGGGGAAAGAAAGAGAAGACACACACCCCTGCAAAAAGGACATATTTCTCAATGTTTTTATATGAAAGGTGCATTTGATAACTGTTCTATGTGCTTAAAGTCTCCCGGGTGCCAAGCAATTGTAATTTCCTTTCCTGCAAAGCTGCTACCATCCTGTGATTTTATTTGAAAGGAGAAAAAAAATGAAGAGCAGAAGAAGATGATTGGGAATACTCCTATCAAGCCCAGAAGGCAGGAGCTGTCCAGTGATGGGGGCATATTATGGTGTATTAGTTGTAACAGCTTTCTGTGTGGCTTCCATTGAGACAGAGATCTCTCTCTCTGGGCAATCAGGTCATGTCACCCATCACCTTTCTTGTCCCTTCTGCAAATGGCCAGAATGTAATACTGGCTATTGTATTTCCAATAAAAAAATAATTCTAAAGAGAAATCATCTCAAAAGTTGAGGATAAGGAACCTTCTTTAAAAAGGAAAAAAAAATCACAATGTGTGCAATGATGAAGCAAGAAATGGCCTGAATTTTGAACCACATTAGCCTTTCTATGGTTTTTAATGCAAACATGTGCTCACTGTAGAATATTAAATGTTAGAAACACATTATAGTTTCTCTGGGCTTCCATTTTAAAGTTCCATCCCTGCTGCAAATACATTTATAAAGAAAAATCAGTTTTAAAATCATTGCTTCCTGGTGGTTAGTTGTTTGTATGAAGTCTGGAGTGCAGTCTATTCACAGTGTTTAAGATTTCTTTTTTTTCTTTTCTTTTTTACTATTGCTATTTAATTATTAAGACTCTGTAGATGTTCCTTGTAAAATTGACACCAAGATGGATGAATATAAACAAACCCAGACACATTTTTATTTGGCATGGCTCCTTTGCCTTTAGCACTATGATTGAGAAATGCAAAATTCACCAGACAAAGGGCAGCATTGAGTTTATTTTCCTGTCAAGCAGCAGCTGCATAAAATAACTTATTTTCCATCTAGAATATAAAAGTCACCTTTCAAGAGTTGTTGGCAGTGACATATAAGATGTTATATGTTTCCCAATTTAAAGCTAACATACGTATTTTTATATCTCTTGTGCAAAAACTAAAAATACTGCAGACTGGGGGATAAAATTAAAATAATAATTTATTTGTGGTAGAGTTACAAAAAGAAAGGGATGCAAATAAACTGCTAGAGAGAGAACAAAAAATGGAATATAAGAGATAAAAGGTTGGGGGTAAATTCATTGGCAGAAAATCTATTAAAAATTGAGCAGCAGCCTGAAGCAATAAAAACTCAGAAAGCACAAAAAAAACCAAAGCGAAATCACAGGAGCAACATATTTTAATTAAAGAACTGAAAACTAAGAATGGAAAAATCAAGGCTGATGTGGAGAAAAGCAAAGACGCTCTGCAGGAATTAGGAAATTGGTTGAAAAAGCTGACCCATAATCACAGATTGTCTAGGTTCAAACAAATAACAAACCATGACTAAGGAAATATGAAAGCAAAAGCTGCACTGGAGCAGCAGCCCATGAGCTCTTTGCATGAGATTCTAAACCATAGCTTAATGCCACATCTCAAAAGAGCCATGGAGGGGTTTATGCAGGGGAAGGCATGAAAGGAAGCATCAATATGCCAAGGAAAAAACTGCACCATACATCAAAAAAGCATATATTTAAGGCACCACATCAGTCTGCCATGCAAATTGTTGTGATATAAGTGTACTAGCCACTGAGTCAGAATGGGCCCCCCCCTTCCATTTTCCAGCTTTGAGACAGTCAGACTAACTTTAGCTATATATTGTATTTCACAGTGTTTTGAGCCACTGTGTTCTGAAGTGACATACAATAATGGATGCACACAACAGCCCAGTAATTCCAGATGATTTGTGCTGCTGAATGACTGGCTGTCATTCGCCTCCTTCCCTGTGTCTTCTATCTTTTCTCCACGTCAGTAGAGGATAACTATTCTACACATTCTTTACTGGCGCAGAAAGGCAGGTGTGCTCAAGGAGTTAAGAGCATTATCAAATCAAATCAAATACCTTTATTGGCATCACAGTATAAAACATGTCAGGTCACTGGGATAATTAAAAGGACAAGGGTGAAGCTGTTGAGGGTTGTAAGGTCACACTGTGATCATGTGCACTTAGATATTCTGCTTCACCCTGTCTGTTCCCCCAAAAGGATGGTTCGTTGGGAACCCTTTTGGGTAAAATTGTGGCTAAAAAGTAAGCTACTAAAGCAGTGATATCTTTGTCCTGATCTGCCAGGAGAAACCTCGTTATAGGCCGGAGGTCCAACACTGTGCTCAGCACCAGTTGGTGAGGTCTACTGTGTAGAGAGCAATCTAAGAGAATGTGGTCCATTGAATTAGGTACTCCTTGGTTGCAGGCACACAAACGGGCTTGATATGGAGTATGTGAGCATCTACCCTTGGTCACTGTAGAGGGGAAGGCATTTAATCTCGCGAGCATAAAGATGGGAAGGGAGTAGTAGATCCTTTAGATATTTGGCACAGGTTCTGTAGAGTGTTGTAATACCTAAGGCCTCCAAAGAACAGGATCTCGGAGTATGAGGTAACAAGCGCTGTCTTTCGTGGTCGTAGAGCTGCTGCTTGATTATTTGGAGTATGTAACTTTTGTCACACGTTTCAAGGCTCTCGAAAGCAATGCCCAAACTACGGATTTTATCTTGAATTGCTTTAAGAGTGTTAAATTTGTAAGACTCGGGTTCAAGTTACCTGTTCTGTAATGAGGTTCACCAGTGACTTTGTACCAGTTTCTGTCAGTCTGGGCTACCTCAAAAGGCTATTATGAGGAGAAAAGCCAGGGGTGGGGAACCCACAGGTCACAAGCTAGATCTGACTCACAGGCAGATTTCTGAGTCTCTTCCCACCCATTCACTGGTTGTCCTCTGAGTATAAAGTTGTCTCCTTGTGAAACAATAAAAAACAACCATCAGTTCCTGCTTGCACTAGTTTCTCTTAGAAGATGTTTCTCTCATCCCTCACAACAGAATGTTACTGTCTAGATATTATATCTGTCTCTCTTTCACCACTATTCACAGTGATGTTGCATTCCTTCCCTGCTTCCCTCACCACATACAGAAGGGAATGTCTGAACCAGAAGACCCCACATTTATGTGAATGCAGGTGATGCCTTTACCCTGGATAATGAATGGCATCAACTACCCTGACCTGAACTATTTGGAACCAGTTACAGAAAAATTCTGGCAACTTCACAAAACTACTAATAACTGAATAAACTTGTAGCACCACACAAAGTCTGATTGGGTGGTATAGCTACATAGGTAGACCAAGTGATACTAAGCCAACCTATAAAAGGAACTGAGAGGAAAAACAAGACAAATTTAATAAAAAATTGGTTCTCAGGAGGATGGAGTCACATAGAAAATGTTTAACAAGTTCAAGGGGATGACTTCAGAATTAAAAGAACCCTAGCTGAACCTTGGGTTAGATGAGTAACAATTTCCAGTGTGTGTGTTGTTATAGTAGGGTTTGAGAGTAAATTATCAACCCACATATAATGAAGCTATTTTATTTTGCCTTTTGTTTTTCTTACACTGTTTTCTCATAGGATGAAAGCAAATTGCACACTGTTCATACCTAGCTTTTACTTAAATGACATCTTATTTTAAGGAACTTGATGAGCAGGTACTAACTTTCTATGGTTTCCTCAAGTGTTTTGGTGTCTGTCAGGGTTGAACCCTGTGATCAGTGGCAGTGCCATGAATCGTTGCAGATATTCATCCTGAAGGTCAAAGCAGGGTGTTAGCAGCCCGAGATAAGCAGTTGTGCTTTAGTCTCTGCCTCTGTTTTCTAGAACTGTATTTAGACTGTATTGTGTTTTAACAGGTAAGCACAAGCTCAGACTCAGTGACCCGGATCTGCAATTTTAGTGGATCCGGGAGCATTTGTGCATTGCAAACATGAGCCCTGCAGAGTGCAGGTTTGGAAAGAGGTAGACTGAGTGAGATGCAGGCATACTGGCCAAAACACAACTAGGGCAATCAGCTTTGGCAGTGCCAACCACTTAACATGAGTGGAATCAGAATCCTAGTCCCCTTCCCATCTTGGGATTCCTGGTCCGCTTCTCTCTACCGTGGCCACATGACCCGGAAAGCTGTCTGTGGGCAAACGCCGGCTCCCTCGGCTTGAAAGTGAGATGAGCGCCACCACCCCATAGTCATCTTTGACTGGACTTAACCATCCCGGGTTCCTTTACCTTACCTTCTCTCTACCAGTACAAATCCATCTGGCAGTAACCTTATCCAGCCCACATTATCAGTTTCTCCTCAAGAATATCATGGGGTACTTTGTCAAAAGTCTCACTGGCACCAAGATGCACTATATCCACAGCATTCCCCTTACAGGAATGTACTTAAAGGAAAGCACAGTCAATGACAACTTTCGAGAATTGTGAGCATCCAGGGAGGCTGTAGACTGCAGACCACTGGAGAGATTTGAAGAATGAAAGAAAGGACATTCACAACCCTCTACATTGAAAGTAAGGTAAGCACAACAAAAACCTGTGTGAATTTCACTGGCATTTCCCCTCTACTTTGCTAATTTTTGAATCCAGTTTCTTTTTCTTGTTAGTTGATGGAGAATGGTTGGAGAGGAATTGCAGGAGAAATTTTCATCACAGCATTTCCACAGGGAGCAGTAATTGCCAGATCCACTTGAGTAATGCAATTGTCTGTTTCAAATAGCTTACATCACGTTCCACCTAAACAATATTTCTGAATTGTTATGTAAATGTAATAACAGCAAGCAATTTATCTGTCATATCACAATCCTCACTGACCCAGTCCCTTTCCACTCCCTTCTTCCTGTTGAAAGCTGGA